GTAGCTGTCGGAGAAGAGAGGTTGCGGACGGGTGACCTATTCACTGTGCGCGACCTAAATCGTAAAATAGGTCTCTGGTTTGGGTCTTATTCGTTGGAGATAGTCTTACTCACTTGCCACTCGGTCGTCGAATTTTAATCGCGATGCATCCGTCTATTCATTCTGACGGGGATGGGGACGAGGTCGTTTTCCATTTTTATTTCCAAGAATTTGGTGGACACAAATCATTTCTGGAGGGGGAAAAACCGTCCCAAGGGCCAAGACAACTGAATGATGCGTCGAGTGGGGAATAATCCTGAATTTGAGTGCCAGATTTAGAATCTGCCCTAGATAATTGGGCGGTGTAATTGTCAGCGAAACATGATCTATCGGCAACATTCAGCAATCAACACGGCGCTTCTAGTCTGGAATGAAACTCCATCCAGTAATAAGACCCAAATGGTAGACCTGTACTAATAATAATTAGAGGGACCGATAGGCCCTGTTCGGCTTACCCCATATTCGACTTGTTCGGCTTCTTTTTTTAGCCGGAACGGTGTTTTTCTCTCACAACAATTTAACCGAAACAGTGTTTTTCCGTCAGTTTCAGCCAAGTTTCAAACCAGCTAACGGGGCCTGTTTGTTGTAATCAACCGCATGTCTTTTCTCTTGTGCGACACAGTAGGACAACAGCTACCCGGTCGGGGTCCCCGACGGCTCGACCAACAGTTGCTCAACTGGGCGCCATTTTCACAATGCATGTTTTCACTCAAATCAGCGGGCAGAGAGGAGAATGTGACATTCAGACAATGCATCAGTTGCCTTTGGCTTCATGCCAGTTTCAGGGTTGTAAACTAGCCTCAACTGAACACCAATCAAATTAAAGCCTCTACTTGTCTAGCAATTGGGCAGGTACCATCAGATCGTCCACAGCAACATCAAACTAACTCATCTTGAGAGAGATGGAGCCAAAATTCCAAAATTTCAGAACAAAACATGTGAATGGCAGACGCATGACGACACTTACGGTCGAACCAGCAGGAGGCAAACAGCTAGTTCAAGTTCGCAAGTAGAAATAAACTCGTGGTCCTTAGCTTCACACTTCAATGACTATCAAGAACTAAGACCCGGGCCGTTCCTGAACGCTGTATCATTCATGCATATCTGCAATCGGTTTGTTCGGATAGACGTCCATGTCAGATTAGTTGGTGCAATATCTGTCATTTGTGGGGGGGGAAATGGCCATACCTGGATGAAGGATTTGGACTAGTAGTAGAGTAGGAAACCAATATTTTCTTTAAAAAGAAATCCCATATTTTATTCAATTCGCAAGACGTTGTTCGTTTCTCTTATAATCCATCTTTTTCAGCTTGTTTTTTTAGTCGGAACATTGTTTTTCTCTCACAACGAATCAGCCGGGACAGTGTTTTAGCTCGTTTTTTCAGCGAAGCGAACGGAGCCAGATAGCTACTCCGAGGACACGTCGGCGGAGCTACACACTTCTGTTTTGACTTTTGAGGGAAATCGACAGCAAAACATGTCCTCTCGCAAAGGTCATGTGCATTAGCTAGACTGAAAAACTACTCCGTAGATTGGTAGAAACTAAACCGCCAGCTACCCTCTTCAGCAAAGCAACAATGTTCACAGGGTGGAGATGGATATGAAAAGTATCCTAATTATACGTATCTGTATCAATTAAAACCAGAACATCAATATTTAATTTGTATCCGCATCAGCTTCCTTTTTATCTGATACCAAAGCAGATATATCCAAATTCGTTTATCATCATTTTTTTCTTTTAACAAACCGACACTGACACTGCCGGTTTTTATTGGCAGAAAATACAAGCAATAGTTCTCAGAGGCTATTTGTAAAGGAAAAAAAAACAGAAAAACACTAACAACAAATAAAACTCTACGACCAAATTCATTCTTACGCTTTGGCGTTGTGCTGTTTTGAATCCCGTTTAACGGTTTTGAATCTAAGCATTCCTGAATGGGGTAGGACGAAAATTAACATTGTGTTCCTTAATCTAAAAAAAGCCGGCTTTATATGTTGTTATACGTTTCATTCTTACAAAACATCGTATGAAGGCAACATATATTTTCTACTTCCCAAATCATTTAGATATTTGAATGCGTATTTGAATCCGAACTATATGTCTTATATCTGCATTAGAGAATATTTAGATCTATGTTCGTATTCGGACCAAAATATGAAAAATAGTGCTAGTAGAATCTAAACCCGGCCGTATTCAAACTGTTTTGCACCCTGAAGGTTCGACAGTAATGCATCCATCTGACTAATCATCCATCGCTCGTAAAGTTGTTCAAAAACCAAAGGATCTTTCCGTATATCTACTGCATCATGCAGTGCCGCCTAGATTATGCTATGAGAGCCCAAGGGTAACTTGTAACTCCTTAAATGGCATCTCGTTCATTTCTACTAAAAGGTCCATAAGTTCACCGGTTGGAGGTATATTTTCAGTCTTCTTCGTGTAATTTATGAACTAATAAGGTGGACATTATTTGTCAGCTCAACTGTATATTACCATGCATCCATCTGAGATCTGACCAAACATGCATCCATAGCTCGTTAAAGTTGTTGAAAAACCAGGAGGTTCTTTCCGTTTTTCTACTGCATCCTGCAGTCCCCTAGATTATGCTATTAGAGCCATGGGTAACTCGTGACTCCCTGAATGGTATATAAAAAGGTACATAAATTTACTGTTCCAAATTAAATCAACTTCTACTCATCTAGAGTTATACTAAGTCAAACTATTTTAAATTTGACCAAACTTATAGAAAAAATACCGATATTTATGACACTAAATTAATATCACTAACTATATCATGAAATATATTTTTTTCTCGAACACACGGCACGTCTTTGTATTAAGGTAGAGAATGTTTGTTTACGATGCGCCTTTGTGGCGCCTTAGGTGAGGGTCAAAAGAATATGAAACATGCTCAAACCCTCCCTGAACTCAGCCATGCTAGCCTTACTCTAAACAGCAGACAGCCCAGGTTCTTAGCGCCGGCCTGCACCCATTGTTCCGCCTCATGCTTGATGACTACTGGTAGGAATGTAGGATCGATATTTGGGTGGTGGCGCCTCGGAAGCATCTCACGTTCCTTTACGTCCACAGTTCCCAGGCGATGAGTGCGAAGATGGAGTCCGCATCGCGCCTGCAGGGTCTGTTCCGCTGCGATCTCCACTCGTTCCACCATTCAAGGATTGTATCCTGGGTCGGGTTCATAACATTGCTGATGTTGCGCCAAACTTGTTTAGCGAAAGAGTAGGAGACGTCGATGTGGTCGATGGTTTCTCGTTCTTGGTCGCAGAGGAAGCAAAGTTCATTTGCCTCGAGTCCATGGCGCTGCCGTCGGTCGGCTGTCCAGTGCCGCTTCCTTAGCGCCAACCACAGTACATTACGGGTACGAAGATATTTTCATATTGTACTTATTTTATATCTCTAAATAAGTTTATTATGAAAGTATACTCCATGTTTAATCTAATGATACTTATTATGCATCATAAATATCAATATATTTTTCTATAAATTTGGTCAAGCTTTAAAAAGTCCATGCTTAATAATAACATAACATACATGATGAGTTGCTATGAGAGCCCAAGTGTAACTTGTAACTCCTTAAATGGGCATTTTGTTCATATATCTAAAAAGTCCATAAATTCACCGGTTGGTGGTCTATTTCAGTCTTGTTCATGCAATTTATGAGCTAATAAGGTGGACATTTGTCAGCTCAACACAGTATAAGGCTCTGTTCGGCAGCACTTATTGCTGCTGCGGCTGATTTGTAGGGTTGATTTGTTGTGAGAGAGAAATATTGTTCTATGGCTGAAAAAGTAGGACTGATTCTGGCTTATAAGCTCAAGCGAACAGAGCCGGTTATGATACATGGTGAGTTGACACCTCTGTTCTTTTTGTGAAGTACTTTCATCCTATTTGTTTGTGGTTTTCATGTTTTTTGAAAGGGCCCATAAATTAATTAGTTGGATGTCAATTTCAGCTTTCTGTTGCAATAATTAATCAGAGCTGGATTTCGTTTCTAAAAAGAAAGACGCAGCACTAAAAGATTGAGGTTGAAATACCTGCTGAAAGCGACAAGGTAGGTAGAAGATCCTTTCATTTCATTCACTCAGTTGTACTGTACGTAGTAGTAAGTTGTAAATAGTTTTTTAAAAAAGTAGTAAGTTGTAAACCTTCCTCTCTTTTTTAAAAAAAGTTGTAAACCTTGGTCACTTCTATTTCTTATCCGAAAGAGGCCGCAGCTAGCCGACGCGTGGTTAGTGGTTACTGCACAAATCCTGCATGCACGTCCATTAACCTTCACTGCAGTCCGTAGGCCCCGTTCAGCTGGTTGAATTTTGGCTAAAACTGTCTAGAAAACACTGTTCTGGCTGAATTGTTGTGAAAGAAAAACACTGTTCCGACTGAAAAAAAAAAAAGCCAAACAAGCTAAATATGGGATAAGCCGGATCGTTTTTTTAGATAATGGATTGTCGTTAGTTGTTACCAAATTCAAAAGCCCTTCACTGCAGTTCACCTGAACTGTTGAACACCTCCACACAAGGACCACGAGTCCACGACCTTCACTGCAGTTCAAGTTCTTCTTCTTTAAAAAAAATATATGAAAAATGGGTTTCAAGTTCGCCTTCCTCCGTTCCCCGTACGAGTGGAGGTGTACATACATTGACCTGTCCTTCTGAGTTTTGATGATGATGCTGGGTTTGATCCAGTATAGCTGACATGTGGTGCCCAGCTACCGTGCTCGTCGTGGTTGTCTCTTCTGTGCGCCCTCTGACGAGTGATTCATCATACCGTAGGCCGTTCGACCGCTTTAAATTCTCCCTGCCTCTCCTCGTCTCGCTTCAGTAGTAATCACTGAGTGCTCACTAGTCACTAGCCCACCACGCCCTGAACACACCCGCCAGCCGCCAGGCCCCAACGCACAACGCACAACGCGACGCGACCACCGCATCGGGGTTCGCGCACCACCATGTCCATGGCCACTTCGGCGCAGCTCAGGCGGCTGAAGCCTCTGTACCAGCTGGTGGTGAACAACATCCTGGCCATCGTGGCCGTGCCGCTCGCCGCCTCGGTCCTGCTCAAGGCGGCGTCGCTCGGGCCCGAGGAGATCCTGGCCCGGGCCCTCGCGCTCCGGCCGGCGCACATGTTCCTGTGCGCGTTCCTGCCGGCCGCCGCCACGGTGCTGTACCTCATGCTCCGCCCGCGCGCGGTGTACCTGGTGGACTACGCCTGCTTCCGCACCAACCCCAACTGCCGCGTCCCGTTCGCGACGTTCCTGGAGCACTCCCGCGTGTGGCCGGGCTTCGACGAGCGCAGCGTCCGGTTCATGACGCGCCTGCTGGAGCGCTCGGGGCTCGGGGAGGAGACGTGCCTGCCGTACGCGCAGCACTACATCCCGCCGTCGCGTGACCTCGAGTCCTCCCGCGCCGAGGCCGAGCTCGTCATCTTCTCGGCCATCGACGACCTGCTCGCCAAGACGGGCGTCTCCCCGCAGGACATCGACATACTGGTGGTGAACTGCAGCCTGTTCGCGCCGACGCCGTCGTTCACGGACATGATCATGCACCGGTACAAGCTCCGGAAGGACGTGCGCAACGTGCACCTCGCCGGGATGGGGTGCAGCGCGGGGCTCATCTCCGTGGAGCTGGCCCGGAACCTGCTGCAGGTGGCGCCGCGGGGCGCGCGCGCGCTGGTGGTGTCCACGGAGACCATCACCCCGAACTACTACATGGGCAAGGAGCGCGCGATGCTGCTCCCCAACTGCCTGTTCCGCATGGGCGGCGCCGCGGCGCTGCTGTCGACGGACGGCGCGGGCGCGCGGTTCCGCCTGGCGCGCGTGGTGCGCACGCTGCGCGGCGCCTCGGACAGCGCGTACCACTGCGTGTACCAGGAGGAGGACGACCGGGGCAACGTGGGCATCAACCTGTCCAAGGACCTGATGAACATCGCGGGCGACGCGCTGAAGGCGAACATCACGGCGATGGGTCCCCTGGTGCTGCCGGCGTCGGAACAGCTGCTGTTCGCGCTGTCCTTCATCGCGCGCAAGGTGCTCAACAACCGGATCAAGCCCTACATCCCGGACTTCCGCACGGCGTTCGAGCACTTCTGCATCCACGCGGGCGGGCGCGCCGTGATCGACGAGCTCCAGCGCAGCCTCACGCTGTCGGACGAGCAGGTGGAGGCGTCGCGGATGACGCTGCACCGCTTCGGCAACACCTCCAGCAGCTCCCTCTGGTACGAGCTCGCCTACATCGAGGCCAAGGGACGCATGCGCAGGGGCGACCGCGTCTGGATGATCGGCTTCGGCTCCGGCTTCAAGTGCAACAGCGCCGCCTGGGAGTGCATCCGCCCCGCCGCCAACGCCGACGGGCCGTGGGCCAACTGCATCCACCGGTACCCCGTCCACATTCCCGACGTGCTCAAGCACTGAGCACGCAACGACCGACCTTGCGTACCGAACGTACAGCCATTCCTGCCCTCCAGCTCCTGCAGTTTCGTGTCATCTTCCCTTCCGTTTTCCTTCCTCCTCGCCCAGTCGCCATTGCACCTGCTGCTACATTTTGGTTCGTGCTTTGTGGAGGGAGATCAAAACGAACCGTTGGAACAGTGATTGGCTGTGCTCGTGAACTAGTAGGTTGGAATCTGGGATCGATCGAGAGGACTTGTCGTGTCAACAAGGGCTCAAGGCGGCGGGGTGGTCGTCATAAAGGAGGCGGGGTCCGTACATGTGCGCCCGGGGAAGGGATGTGTTGTGTCTCGGTCCGGGCCGCTGTATACACGTACTACACTTCGTTTCGTGGTGTGACTTCGTGTCGTGTTGTGTTCACATTTCTTTATCTACTACAGTATCATATACGGAGTACGTATGTTTTTCCTATTTCTTTCAAGTTCATTCATCCGTTATACCATAAGGAGAGATATGACATGAGCTACTAGTTGTAGTAGACAAGACGAGCAAAAGCTTGATGTATGTGTGCACCTACTCTTATCAATCAATATTTTTCATTTAAAAGTGCTGCCTTGTGCCTGCATGCATTGCACTGATGATTGTTCACTGTGTTCTCCTGTCGTTGATGCTCCCTGCGTGCTTGCTGTTGCCGGTTGCCGTTGCCACTGTGCGGCTCTCTCTCTCTCGCTCTCGCAGGCATGCACAACACAATTGCACGGCCTGCCAAGTGCCAAACAGAAACAGGGGCAATGCCATTTCATTTCATGGCTGATAAGCCATGGCTGAAAATACTGTTGACTGATTTATTATGAGAGAAAAATATTGTTCGTTGGCTAAAAAAGTACGGCTTATAAGCCAAGCGAACAGGGCTGCCACACCGTCTGAGGCTTCTGCTTGGTTCATTAATAGCTTGAGGCTCGCCCTAGCCTTTTCAATTGTTTGAAGCAGGAAATCACGCCACAAGTGAGGCGGCCAATTTTGCCGCCCGCCGCAGCTTCGGCAACGCCACGGATGCAACGTGGCAAAATACAGCTTCGGCGACGCCACGGATGCAGCTTCGGCGAAATACGCCACGGCTGAGGGCTAACACCGGCGCCGTGTGCTGTCGCCTACCTTTAGCGCATCCGCATGGATTTCAAAGCTCCGTCCTCGCGACTCGCGAGACGCAAGAACTCATACTCTACGGTACGGTCGTACGTGTTGCCGCTGCGAACGCTTGCCTGCTCGGTGAATGCATGCCTGCTCCTGGACCAACCATGCATGGCATGGAAAGCCGTCGCCCGTCGTCGTCGCCACGGAAATATGCAGCTGCAAACTGCTTCGTTTTGTTAGCCCACAGGATCACTGGCTCAGGTGAGTCGACCACTCATCAGTCTTACCGACCACGGCCGAGCACAATAGACGTTGTCCGACCACACACTATGGTCAGAGATAGAAGAAGAGGGAGAACAGAGCATACACACACGGCAGAGACACCAGCGTTGGGTAGAGCCTTGTATAGGAGATGGCAAATCTGAACTATCTTTACTGAGTTGCAGTGGTTAACTATTTATACAACTCTATCCATCTAGTCCTAGTACAGCTGTCATATTGCTACAGTGCTAGATAACACAGTAGGATTGACTTCTGCGCCTGTCCCTGCTGTGGCTACAGTGAGGCAGGTGAGCCATTCGGCGTCTGCCTTCTACAGCGGTTATAGTACCACGGTAGGGAGCCTTTTTGGCGCCGGCTCCTCTTGCTGTGTGTTCACACAAGGAATCAGTAGATTATCTAGCAATTTTACCCTAATCCTACTGCTATCCCTTGTACCCCCTCCATGCCGATCATCTCCTTCAGCTCTATGAGTCTAAGACGTCCGAGCGGCTTGGTGAGGACGTCCGCGAGTTGTCGACCAGTTTCGACGAACTCGATGACGATCTGCCCTCCATCGACACAGTCCCTGAGGAAGTGGAACTTCACGTCGATGTGTTTGCTCCGATCATGGAGAACCGGATTCTTCGCGAGGGCAATGGCATGCTGGTTGTCCACCATCAGTGCTGGTGGGTGAGCTTCCGCACCGGTCAGCTCGCCCAGCAGCCGGCGCAGCCACACAACTTGGCACGCCACTGTGGCTGCCGCCACGTACTCTGCCTCGCACGTAGACAACGCCACCATCTTCTGTTTCAGCGACAGCCATAAAATTGGAGCCGACCCGAGAAAGACAAGCATGCCAGAGGTGCACCGTCGTCCGTCGATGTCCCCCGCCATGTCTGCACCGCTGAACACAGTGAGCTGCAGCCTACTCCAGCCAGTTTTGGGAAAGATGATCCCCTGGTCCACCGTCCCTTTGACGTAGCACAGTAGCCGCTTCACCGTAGCCCAGTGATCCTCTCTGGGATCCTCCATGAAGCGACTGACGTAGCCCACGGCGAACGCAATGTCCGATCTCGTGTGGACTAGGTAACGCAGACCGCCGACGATGCTCTGATAGAGTGTTGCATCCACCTTCGCTGCGGTGCTGGCCTTCATCAGCTTCAGCCACTTCTCCATCGGAGTCACGCATGGCTTGCACTCAGCCATGCGGCTCCGCTCCAACAGCTTTGAGGCATACGCGCTCTGACCGAGCGTGAGTTCCTCCTTCCCCTGTCTCACCTCGATGCTGAGGTAGTAGGATAGTGCCCTGAGATCGCTCATTCGAAAACGAGCCGCTATCTCACGCTTAAAGCTGTCGATGTCCTCCGTACACATGCCGGTGACGATCAAGTCATCCACATACATGTCGACGACGAGCTCCTCCTTCCCTCGTCGCCGCGTATAGAGCGCGTGCTCGGTTGCGCACCGCTAGAACCCAAGCTCGCCCAGCGTGGCGTCAAGCTTGGCGTTCCACGCTCGTGGGCCGTAGCCCATAGAGCGCCTTGTGCAGTCGGAGCACCCTGTGCTCCGCTTCCTTGATGGCGAAACCCAGAGGTTGCCTGACGAAGACCGTCTCCGCTAGCTCGCCATTGAGGAAGGCCGATTTAACGTCCAAGTGATGGACGCGCGCAGTCCTTTGCTGCTGCCAAGGCTAGTAGCAAACGAACAGACTTTATGCACGCTACTAGCGTAAAGACTTCCTCGAAGTCGATGCCCTCGCGCTGAACAAAGTCTCGGGCAATGAGGCGCGCCTTGTGCTTGACAATGGCGCTGAGCTCGTCTCGCTTGACCTTGTTTACCCACTTCAGGCTGATCGAACGGCATCCTGGAGGTGGATCGATAAGCTCCCATATCTCGTTTTTCTCGATCGCCTTTATCTCCTCCAGCATCGCCCGTCGCCATTCTCCATCGTGCTCCACCAGTGCGAATATGGGTGGCTCCTCTACACTGATGAGCAACAGCTCTTGGTCATTGAGTAGCCGACCAGCCAGGCCTGAGGGCCCTGTGTCGCCGACGATGTCGTCTAGCCTATGGAACCGCACCTCCTCACCTTCGTAGAAGGTATCCACGAATTCAGTGATGACACTTGGAGGTGAGGCGAACTCGATCAGTGTTGATAGAGTTCCCTGTTCCACCGGAGTGCTCGGCACAGCACCTGGAGTGCTCGACACCCCGGTTGTAGTGCTCGGCACTACTCCTGGACAGCTCGTCATAACTCCTGCAGTGCTCGGCACCACTGTAGGAGTGCTGAGCCTCAGTCTTGGAGTGGTCGGCACTACTGCAAGACCTCTTGGCTCTGCTATGGGAGTGCTCGGCACCCGTCCTAGAGTGGTTGCCACTACTGCAGAACCTCCCAGCACCACTCTTGGCATGCTTGACATCCCTCCAGGAGTGCTCGGCACTCCTCTCGGAGTACTCGGCATCCCTACCGAAGTGCTCGGCACCGCCCCAGGAGTGCTCTCGGCACCCCTCCCGGAGTGCTCGGCACCTCTTCCCTAGTGCCTCCACCACCGTGGATGACCCAGGTGCTCGACGGTGAAGGTGCTGGTGAAGCCGCCAGCTTCCCCTGTGCTCGGACTGTTTTAGTCCCAAGCCGCCTTCTCGTCGAACACGACGTTGCGCGAGACAAGTACCTTATCTCCGTGTGGGTCGTAGAGCCGATACACCTTGGTACCCTCCGCGTAGCCTAGGAACACCATCGGTGTGCTCCTGTCCTCTAGCTTGGTGAGGATCGGCTTCGTCTTCCTGACGTGGCCGATGCAGCCGAATGTCCGGAGGAAGGACATGCTCGGCTTGCGCCCATACCAAGCTTCGAACGGCGTCTTACCCGTTAGGGCCTTGGTCGGAGCGCGGTTGAGGATGAACACCGCCATGGTCACCGTCTCACCCCAGAACCTTGCCGGCACCCCTTTCGCCTTCATCATAGATCGAGCCATGCCGACCACCGTCTGGTTCCGTCGCTCCACCACGCCATTCTGTTATGGCGAGTACGGCGTGGTGTGGTGTCGCACCACACCCTGATCGGCACAGTACGCTGCGAACTCCACCGAAGTGAATTCGTCGCCGCGATCAGTCCTCAGCACGTAGACCTTCTTGCCGATCTCGGCCTCCGCATGCATCTTGAACTTCTTGATCGCCGTTGCCGCTTCGTCCTTGCTCGTCAGGAGTTACAGCCACATGTAGCGACTGTAATCATCCACGAGCAGGAGGAAGTGCCGCCGACCACCATTTGTAGCTGGTGTGATCGGCACATAGAGGTCGCCGTGGACAAGCTCGAGAGCGTCCTCCGCGCGATACTTGGCCGCCTTTGAGAACGGTAGCCTCCTCTGCTTCCCAGCAAGGCAGCTGTCACACAGCTTGCCTCCGTGCTTGATGTGGGATAGCCCTCGAACCATCTTCTCCAGCCGACCGAGCGCGTCGAAGCTAAGATGTCCGAACCAAGCATGCCACAGCCATGGTTCCTCGGTGTGCCTTGCCGCCAGGCACACCGGCTGCTCTACCTTTAGGTCGAGCAGGTACAAATGGTTCAGAGACCTCTTCACCTTGGCAAGAAGTCACTGCTCCCGGTCCCTGATCCTAAGGACTCTGTC